AGCCGCGTTGGGAGGAGGTGGCGTGCTGCCGGACCGTAACGATGCTCTTGGGTTTCTCTTCTTGCTCTCCCGCCGGCGCTCAGAAACACGCTTTAACAGCGAAGCCCTGTCCTCGGAAGAAGAGGATGCAGACACTCGCGACGGCGCACTGAAAGCTGTGGACCAGAGCCCGTCTGCGAAGAGGAGCGTCGCGCAGATAATGAAGGACAAGAAGAAGCAGACGCAACTCACCCTGCAATGGTAGGGCTGCCCAGGCGAGCCGCTGCCGCCTTGCCCCGGGGGGACCTTCTCGTAAGAGCCGAGTCGGCACGGAGGGCTGCACCTCACAGATCTTTTAGGAATAATGTATGGGTTTGTGGGGTGATGTTTGGCTAGTTGTGGGGTTTTTTTTTCGGAGCAGTCTCGTCTACAGGTAAGGACATCCACCTCCAAATTTCTAGCAGAGGTTTATCAGTTAACCAAAATCTCCAACATATTCTAACAGTATGTGGCTATCAATAAAACGTATCGAAAAAAAATGTAGAAATGAAGCATTACTTAAGACTTACTTTCGTGAAAGAATGTTTTAATTATCCTTTAAGGCTATGGATGTTAGATTTTCACTGTCTTATAATGTATTTTTTTACATCATAATCTACCATCCATGGGATCTCTAACTTCATTTAATCTGGGCAAAAAAATAACCAAATAGCAGATAAAATTCTGTGGACATTAACTGATGTTTCTATTAAAACACATTTGAAATTAGGAAGGAGTGGTGTTGAATTAAATGGAATTTAGTTACCAAATACAGGCTGTGCATCTAGATTGATTTTTTTTTTAATTTCTAAGAAATGAGAGAAACCCGAATTACTCAGTTTCTTAGTCTATCTTCCATCTGATTTAGAGCATAAATTGTAAGGATTTGAGTATGGTGAGTCAGTGCAAAATTATTCAGTGCGCAGCATTTACTACACAGTATTTTCTTACAGATTTGTGTAATTTGAGAAAGAAATAGTCTGCACATCATCCCAGGAGTAGCAGAAAATGTAATCCGATAAAGAAACAGGACCACAGAGAAATACCCAGCTGCTACCAAGAGTTCAGTTCAAATGTAGACAGACAGTTTTTTCTTCAGTGTTTAAAGTTTTACTTTAATGACCATCACTAGGCACTTCTATTCTGCAGACTGATTGGGAAGCTACATAAAAAAGGCACCCCTTTCAGAAGAAGCCAGTTCTTTGCTTTTCAGTATGGTTTGGTCAAGAAACGGCTTTAGGTCTAGCATGGAAATTAAAAAGCAAAAGTAGGAAAAGAAGATATGTTAGCACAGGTGTTAAAAATACAGTGGGGCAGAAGATGCAAGTCCAAGCTCCTGCTCTATTCAAAGGACAGACTTAAACATTTCATAGTCCACTTAGTGCTCTTATTTTCAGAACCAGGCTGTCCCTTAGATGTTGATCATTTAATTATTTCTACAAAGCAAAATGTTCAAACATTGAAAAAGACTCATTAAGAAAAGGGGCCTGGCCCCAGGTTTTCCATATTCTACAACTAACCTAAGCACCAAGCGTGCAGTCAGTCTGTGGTACCTGTCTTGTTTAGGAGAAACCTATTTGTGTGCTCGCATGGAATTTTTCAGTAAAATTAAAAAAAGAAAAGGGCAGTACAAAGAACCAAAAGGAAAATAAGATCAGGAGACACGGAATGTTGCTTCTTACTCTGCAGTTTCTTTCTCTGTACAGGCTGGAAGAAAACTACATTGTCTGTGAAGGAGTTTGTTTGCCAAGATGCATCCTATATGCACACTATTTAGACTTCTGCAGAAAAGAGAAGTTGGAACCTGCCTGCGCTGCAACTTTTGGGAAGGTAAAGAGCAAATGCTTTCATAATTTATTGGATTAATTCTTTGATGGAATCACAATTCAGTACATCTGTGTCAAAATTCCTCTCAAATTCGCATGTTTTCTACACACATGGAATCAGACTACATTGTTTCATATTACAAGGATTTCATGACATTAGATTTAGGAAACTGAGATTCCCTTTCAGTTATTGCTATTTCATACAAAGACATTCTCTCCGAGAGATTTTTCTTTCCCTTTTTGATGATGATGTTAATAGGGTTCTTTCCACAAAACCAGATCTGACATGGAGGACACTTTTAATTATACTAAAGGCAGTGAAAAGTGAGATGTGACACAAGAAGCAATACAAGACCAGGAATAAAAATTAATAACACAGAGAGCTCCTGAATAAGAAACTGTTGATTCGTCCTCTTTTCTACCTTTCTCTACAAGTAATCCTGAAATCATTTAATGTAAGGGAGATGTGAACTCTCCAAATTAAATCCTCAGTAGTTAGTGAAACAGGAAACCAAAAATGCTTCAAAGATCATCTTTTTTTAAACACTACTGATCTAGTCATTGTTCATATATAGCAAAATGCATTAATTTAATTAAATAATAATAATGGGTTTTAAATCCAGTTCATAAAATGTTCACTTACCAATTTTTTCCTCTTGAATTGGATATACTGAGAAAGTATCTAATTTTCATTACAGTTTCAGTATAAATGAGGAAGACAATAGTTTTCCATATAAACATTGCTATGACAGTGATCTGTCTGTTAGATATATCTATTACATCTACTTCTATTACTGAATTACTTTTTAACTTCATAAACCTTTTGCCTTAAGTATCGTTCTTCACAGGAAGAGTAGGATGTTCTTAGGATGCTAATCTCAACCTTAGGACTCCAGTGACAGAATGTTTTGCTTGATTTGGATTAAATCACATAACATGAATTCTTTATGTGCAGCATAGAGCTAACAGAAACTTTCATAGGGTTTCAGTGGGCATAAAAAAGTTTAAGACTGTCCAACACTTTGATAGTGGACAACATACAAGTACCTGTGAGGCAAATATTTGCTTGCTTTAACCTTCAGATCACACTTTTCAAATAAAAAATAAATTTATGTTTAGTTGTTTGGCTGTAAACAGAATAGCTAGAGGGCAGACCTTTCCCTGGTTCTGTTTAGATCTCTGAAGCAAAAGGTACAGTTGCACTTTAGGGACCTGAGTGAAGCAGGACCCTGATGAAGAAAACTAGATTTTAAACTGTAGAAGTGAAAACGGAAGGGAAGAACAGGTAGGAAGGATGGGAAAGAGAAAGGGAGATTGGAGATACATGACAAGAAGGACAAAGGATGGAAGGACCCCTGCAGTGTAAAAACATAGACTCATAGAATCAGCTAGGTTGGAAAAGACCTTTAAGATCATTAAGTCCAATCATTACCCTAGGACTGCCAAGAACACCACTAAACCATATCACTAAGGGTGTATACATGATTTTTGAACACTTCCAGGGACGGTGATTCCACCACTTCCCTGGGCAGCCTGTTCCAGTGCCTGAGCACCCTTTCGGTGGAGACATTTTTATATATCCAGTCTAAACTTCTCCTGGCACAGCTTGAAGCCATTACCTCTTGTCCTGTCACTTGTTACTTGGGAGAGGAGACTGACCCCCACCTCACTACAACCTCCTTTCAGGTAGTTGCAGAGAGCAATAAGGTCCCCCCTGAGCCTTCTCTTCTCCTGACTAAACCCTCCCAGTTCCCTCAGCTGTTCCTCATAAGACTTATTCTCCAGACCCTTCACCAGCTGTGTTGCCATTCTCTGGACCTGCTCCAGCACCTCAGTGTCTCTCTTGTAGTGAAGGGCCCAGAACTGAACACAGTATTTGAGGTGCAGCCTCACCAGTACAGAGTGAGGGGGATGATCACTGCCCTGGTCCTGCTGGCTACGCTATTTCTGATACCGGCCAGGAAGCTGTTGGGCCCCCACAAGCTGGCTCATGTTCAGTGGCCATCGGTCAGCACCCCCAGGTCCTTTTCTGCTGAGCAACTTTCCAGCCACTCTTCCCCAAGCCTGTAACATTGCATGCTTGTTTCTGTTGTGATGTGACATCAATATTTATTCGTGGACTACATTACACCATATATTAACACCACGATTCTTCTATGAACAGATTGCTAAGAACGCATACCAGTGTTGGAAATTAACACGGCTTTTTCTCTTCAGACTATTCGCCAGAAATTCCCTCTCCTTACCACAAGGCGGCTTGGAACAAGGGGCCATTCAAAGTAAGGTGCACTTTACTGCGTAGCCACTAACAGAACTCATGCTGTGAATGACATGTGTTTCCACGTCACCACTATATGTAATTGGTATAATATGTACTAATGGGCATGGGAGTTTTATTCAGATGACAAGCTGCAAGTGATAACGTTCAAAGTGCATGATGAAACTGATAGAAAGTTTGAGTTTTGAAAACATTACTTCAGGCATAATTTCTAAAATTAAACTGATTAAGCTTCTAAACCTTGTAATTATACTTAGAGAGCCATGCATTTTTTGCAAATATATGTGGAACTTTATATAAAAATTGATTATATGATACCTATATCTTGGTTACAGCTGCTCATCTTTTTATAAATAATGTGAAATTTAACTATGGTTTTCTTTGCCTTTTGCAAACCTAACAACTTGCTTTGTGTTCCTTACACAACTATGTGGAAAAAAGGCCCTAGAAAAAAGCATCGCATTAAATTGAGAAGAAAGAATACATCTGGTCTTTGGTGTGGGTAATTCATAAAAACTCTGAAAAGTACATACCTGTAGTGCAGTCGTTTCATAAATAATGTATATGGTTAATTTGTATATTTGATCTGTGGAATATTAGGCTGTAGGAATAGATCACAGATAATTATATATCACCTGTGGTGATATTTGTATTAGTTCTGACATTACGCTTTTGGTCATGACGAAGTCAGTGTAAACCAGTGGTGAACAGTGATAACAACATACTTGCATCCAACCTTCCTCTATGTCCTGATATCAAGACTGTTGAAGAAGGCCTGATGAATTGCCCCCAGTCTAATTTGTTTTTTAACAGGAGAATGTTACTTTTAAGGAAATGAAAAAAATGTGTAGTGTGTTGACATAAGGAATGTAGAGAAGTCAAAATAATGCTCTAGGGTGTTGCTAGAGTCAAGTTATGAGTTAGGCCATTCTAACAAAACTTCTATCCCTGTTTGGGGAGTCACAGATACAACAGTTCTCTGTATTGCCTGAAACCAAGTCTGGCTCTGAGCTTTTCTGAGTGTCGTGCTTTAAAATGTTATTTTAGTGTTTATTAATATCCAGTTTTAGAAAAATATTTAAACCTAAATAGTGTGCTGGTACCATTCAACATAAAATAGGACTAGTTAAATAATTTTGTTCTTTTAAAGTAACCTCCAAAAACTTAATGGTTTTCAATCCCAAATAACATTTAGACCAGATCCTTATCTGTGCATTTCTATTGATTTCAAAATAGGTTTCCAAAAAATAAGATATTTCTATGAGGAGCAAATTAAGATAGATATTATGTCCAGCTTTCTGTGTTAACACAGAAATTTAACATTATTAATGCCAATATTTTAGGAGATGCATGCCTTTAAATATGTGAGTAGCACTAGATTTTTCTCATGCTTAAAATTATTCGTATGTACTTACTGAATAAGATTCATGAAACTATCCTTGACTTATAGAAGAAAGCACAGAGGGATGAAGGTTTACTGAAACAAAACTAAACCCCAGAAAATTAGCAAAGCATTTTGCTAATGAAGAAGATACAGAACCAGAATTACTGGCAGAAGAGACTCAAACATTCTGCTTGTTTGGGAAAACTATTTTGAATGACTTAGCCTTGAAAGACAAAGTTATTATTGTCTTTCAGTAATTTAAAAGCAAAACTCAAAATGAAAGGAGACTGAAAAAGAAAAAAAACCTATAAGGCTGGTTTTAGCAAGTGCTTTGCAATATACCACAAATGTCTGAAGTGTATTGCTTACTTTTATAATTCTGGGGGGTTGGTTCATGTTGTTATGCTTGGTTTTCTTCCTGCCTTATAAATATAAAAAATAGCCAGTTGATTCCAACTTAGTTTTGCTAAAGAATGCACAGGAGACATTTGTGAATTTTAAGTTTTGTTGCAGTATAGATGAAAGTAGGGAAGAATTTCAATTCCCAAGTTTTACAAAGACATTTTGTTTCTTGGATATGTCTCAAATGTTTATTTTAAATAGTCATTAATTAAAATTAAAAGGAAATAAAGCCTGCATAGAATGTTTCTTTTTTTAACTGAGGACAGTTCTTGCACAGTTTCTGTCACAGTCTTACAAATTTGTAATCCATTGATTTTTTTCAAGACAGAGTACATGATTTGCTTTGTGTAGAGGAAAACTGGAACTGAAGTTAATTTCTCTTTTGTAACTGACCTATAAATGCTGAATAGAGGGATTTTGAGGGATGTTACTATTAGAAAGGTTGTTTGTAGGAGAAAATGTCACCTGTGGTGAAGTTCAGCTATTGTTATGGGCGTAAGTTCGTGTAGACTTAGCTTTGCAGATGGACATTTGCTGCTGGTGTTGTTTTCAAGATTTTAGGATATCTGGTACTCACAATCTGTGCAGGAATATTTGACAACCTACTAATTCCTCAATGTGTTAGTTAAGTCTTACTCAGTTTCATAACCCAACGTATTTGGAGAACCACTTTCAAGTTATAATGAATGAGATAATACAAGGGGGAATATCTCCCAAATGTTTATCATAATTTTGATCTGACATATCTCATGAACTGATAACCAGGATCTATTCAGGATCTAAACTTCCAGACATATTTTGTGTCTGCATAATTTAAAGCACAGTAAGTCAACATCTATTAGGTAACAGAATATATTTCAAATCTAGTTATTGACATGGAAATCTAGTTACAAAATTAATTGTGTTGGAATATGTGTCACTATATTCCATTTTTCTCTAAGACATTTAACATTAATAGCATGGAAATGCCTCACACCCAACACTTCTTCAGCAAATCCTGTATCTCTATTGACCTTGGTGGTATTATGTGCCATATTTTCATATGGATTAACTGTTCTTGAACAATTTCCTAAAAGGGATGAGGCATCAGCAGGGTTTGTTTGAACATCTGGCATTTGTTTTTCCTTTTTTTTTTTTTTTTATCTGAGTTTTCCTCAGGGACTTTTCCTCTTCAATTCTCATTTCCACTAAGATACATTTGCATTGTTCTTGCTGTGTAAAAAAAGGACGTCATAAAAGGCATAAAATATCTCGGGTTTAGAGACTGAATACAGCAGCCAACAGTCATAGAGAAGTGGCAGTATAAATAATGGTCTCTGATTATCAGTTTATCTGTCTCTGATATTGTGGACCATATTCACCTCAGAACCACAGACCCACTGAAAAGCATATTCATTTCTGCTTTCACCAGGTAGCAGTTAGTAACGTAAGTCTAATTTCAGAAGTATTTCAATTAAATTAATAAGCAAGTTAGGGAACTGTTCATCAGTTTCAGAAAATGACTAGTTACCCTCTGCTTTTATGTCAACATGAACTCCAAATTTTGTAAGCTGTTTCTGTGTGGAACAAAGTAAGGGTTACTGCGACTGGTAAGAGACACTTCTTACTAGCAGTTAAATCCTGTTTTTTAAGCATGAAAGTGTGACATTATTTTGTTTCTGTTGTTGCTACATTATTTCGATATAACGTTAGTAGGAGCAGTAATAGTAATATCATCACTGACAGTGATGTTTCATATGGCATTGCCTAGGTGCTCTGATCATTGTCTGGGCCTCTACTGCACCAGATGCTGCAAAAGCATGAAAAGAAAAAGACCACTCCTCTCTAATGGAATCATTATTCTTATATATCAAAGAATAAAATGCCTTATTGGGCACTGCATGCACACACAGTAATGTATTGATAGAGCCTGGCTGTGCTCAGAAATCAAAGAAAATTAGTTCCTTTTCCATCATCTTCAAGGTGACAGAAATAGTTTTTCTCCCACACCAAAACAAGGCCAAGCTCTTTCAGGCGTTCTCATGAACATGGACTGGATTTGAGAAAGAAATTCTGCTCTTGAGTGTAGGATACACAAATGTTAGTTCCTCCTCTGATTCCAAGCAGCATTTGTCATCTCCAGTTCTGGGCAAAGGAGAGACCTAAAAAGGGGACCTAGAAGTCTGAGTCTAGAGTCTCTCTCTCTGTGTTTACATCCAACAACCCATTTGTACAAAACTGTCAGTACCAAAACACTAATTTGAATATTTGGCCAAGAAGGTACAACACATTAGACACAATTTTGTTAACTAAGTTCAATTGTTACATACCCATGCTAATCACTCCAGATCGCAGATTGTAGGGGAAGGTTTCTGTATTCCCACTAAATGGAAGAAGATCCAACGTGATAAATACTGCAAACTGTTCTCTTAGCTTAGTGTTTCATAAGCAACAGTTGTCTGTGCAGCAGGTTCTGAATCCACCTTTTTGCATAGGTAATATTGGACATACTGTGGTCACTGGTAGAATTCAGTTATAACCTTCATGGTACATGAGTTACCTGGAGAAGCTATCTGGGAAATGTACATACTGCTCAGTCCATACACACAGAAGACTGAGCTCAAGTTACAATTTAATTTCTTTGTAGACTTTGATCAATGATGAATTTTAGCTTTTATCCATCATGTCTGAAAACTATTATCTTATTTATTAGGAGTGATTTAGTGGGTTAATAAAACTGATATGGCAGCTGGCCCTGTGATAACAAGTTATTGCAAGTCACTGAACAGCTTAAGCATATCATTTCCTTATCAGCTATCATTCGTGTCAGTGTATGCTAAAATCAGGGCTGCTAGTTGTGTAGGAACATATGTTACAACAAACCACTGAAATTAAAGGAGGAAAAGCAGTCCAGCTTGTTTTTCAAAAGGTTTGTTACAAATTGAGAATAAGTTCCTTATGAGGACTGGTTTCATTTTATTAATTATATAATAGCAATATAAATAGTAAATACATCTATATTATACATGCACATAGAAATATGCATATAAAGACACAGAAAAAAGGTACCTGAAGTTGTAGGTTAAGGATGTTACCAGTGTGCCTGGGATGGGTATACTCAACTTTCAACAAGGAGCCCAAAATAAGCTTTTCAGCTAATAACTTTGGCTTCTAAGACAATAAAAATCTTCACAACTTATTACTCTATAAAGTATACCAGAAAGAGCTTGAACAGTACAGATTATACTTTTTTTTAAATTGCTTCTATGTCATGACCAGAAAGTTGTATTTTTTAGTACTAAAAATTCAACTACGCAAGTAGCTGAAAGAAATCAGAATGATAACTACTATGTCTTGATACACACAGAATAGGCACTGAAAATATCTGTTCTCCGTAACAAAATGTCCCAGCTGATATGTTGGAGGAGGAACAAGTGTATTGTCTACCACTGGAAACCTGAAAGTCCAAATCATACAACAGTTCCTGTTTCTAACCCAAATATGTTAATATTGAATTAGATGCTGAATAATCTAGACATTGAATCCTAACTTTGTAAAGAAGTAATGCTTTTCCTTGTCTCTGTCCACTCCAACTTTAGCAGAAGGGCATTCCAAGTTTGTAGTGAAAGGATGGAGTTTTAGTTTTAGAATTTTAAAAAAGGCATGTGGTTAAAACTAAGAGATTTAGGGTGTTGGAATGAGATATACGTGACTGCTTGCTTACATGGCCAATGACAAATGTGCACATAACATTGTTAAGAAGCACTCACACCTCTGTTTTGTTTTCCATCCTGTTCAGTGCGCAACCTTTGCAATGCCAAGATGAAGTAAATGCTATTAATTCAAATAATCCATACATGTATATTTTCAATACCTCTTGTGTCACATGTAAAATTGCTTAATTTTCATGAAAGAAAAAATATTAATGCCTGTAGCATTTGTGTTAGAACTCAGAAAAATATTAGGAATTTCCAGATCTGGGTCTTTGGCCCAAGACTATCTGTTTAATTCTCCTAAACCAAAAGTAGTTGTTGAAAACCTTCAGGACTTTAGCTCACAACATGGGTGACACAGTACTATGTGTGAACCAGAGGACAACAGTCTAGCATTAGGGCATTTAATGAAAGATCCCATTGGCATTCTAAACCACCTTGAGGTGTCACTTTGCTTTGACCAGTCAGCTCTGACTTTAATGGGTAAAAAGGGAGCTGTTATGAGCACATGCTCCTGTGTCTGAGCTTCTGGGTATTAATGGGTTTTTAAAAATGGTCAGTGCACCACATCACCATCCCCCAGAAAAATACAGTTACGGGCAAAAAAATTAACAGTACAGAAGCAGGGGAGAAACTGTTTGCCTTCCTATGGGTCACGAAGTACCACTGTGATCTAGTGGTATTATGTTGAGTCACCAGTTTCAGGCAAAGAGTAAAAGCTATGATATTTAACAGCAGGCACTTTCTGTTCACATTTCTTGGCTGTAAACTCCTGAATGCACACAACAGACTGACCAGAAATAGAATGTCTATTTCAGCTGAGGTTTTTATAGCTACTTAGGATAAGCAAATATATCACCCAAATGAACATTTTCTTAAATATCTTTTGTATCTAATGGCTTTAGTCAGCTTTGCAAATATAAGCATTTGAAGGTTTTGTTCTTATCTGTGACTGTCCCATACAAGAAAAAACAGTAAGATTGTAATTTCTTTTAATGGGCATCACCAGGAATAGCAGACATGAGCTGAAAACTTTTGTTTATGTGTTCTATGACTATTTGTTGGGGACTTTGTGTCTTAAGAGTGAATTTCTTCAAGCTTTTTAGAAGTTTTAATGGAATTAGTGCGATTCAATGTACTTGAACTACAAGCGTTACTTTGAAGCAGTTCAGTTAAAACAGCTGCCATGACATTTTCAAGCTGACTTCAGTAAAACCCGAATGAATCTGACTGAGTGTATTGTCCATAACATTCTTAGACAAATTTGGTTTAACACAATCAGTTTTTAAATCTATTGAGTGGAATTTTTAAGACAGGGCCTATCACTTTTGACAGATGAACTCAAGCAAACTTTGCTATGACCGGTAAAGAAAGAGCTGCCCCCAGCTTGCTCTCCTGCCCTTCTCCTGAAGGTCAATTCTTTTGTAGCAAAATCAGTGGAAAGCAGTAATATCTACTGCATAGCTGTTTTCCTTAGCACCAACCCACCCTTTTTAGTATCTTTGGTTAAGCTGTTGAGCTCAGCACTGCAGAGCCTGACCAATAAACATATTTCCTCTTCCATCGGTATTTGGGAGCAGTGATCTCCAGGAGAGTAGCAAGGAAGAAAAATGTGGATGAGAACTGCTTAAGTGGCTAAATAATTCAGAGTTGGTCAGCCTGCAACCTGAGAGAAGAATGAAAAAATGACGTTAGCATTTTTATTCATAGGAGGTTGAACACTAACTTATTGGGTACACTGGTGAGTTATTTTCAACTAGGAAGTGCTCTGTGGGACTGTTTAAATATAACAGTGGTAAGTCTGAGAAAATAAACCTTTAAATCAAACCCAGCACCTTGCCAATAAGTAAAGTAAAATGGGGGAGAAAGCACATTAGGGAAAAAGAGATGCAACATGTTTCTGGGAGATTTGCTGTTCCAGCTGCATTCTTATAAGAGAGAAAGTGTTTTAAATGTAAAGAAGATCCTATCCTTGAATTTTGGATCAAATTATGACAATAATGTTTTCTGTGAGACCAGATTTTGTTTCATGTCAGTGAAAGGAGTTGGCAGACACTGTTAAGAAAAGCTTTCAGAAAGCATTGAAAATCAATTTGACAATTCTCCTTACTTGATATATCACTTATAAACAATTCTTTTCCCCCCACCCCCCACAGGTATCACTATTATGGAATTGGCATTAAAGAAAGCAGTGCGTACTACCACTCTGTGTATTCTGGAAAAGGCTTAACCAGGTACAGTAGCATCACTTCTGAGACATAGTCAGTGAAGGTCTAACTTCAACCTTCCCTTAGGAAGGTATCTGTAGGACACTAATTTTTGTTAATACCACAACTAGTATTGCTGCATATCTCAGTGTCTTGTATTCCTATATTTAAGTAGCAGTTTGCTCCCTGAAGACACTGATTTTGTTTTAACAGGTTGATCTAGACCTTTTGGTAGTGACTTCCAGTATGGCCCCACAATAGTCGTTGTAGAGCTGCAACAACTTATAACAGCAGAGGATTTGTTTGATTATGTGTGAGGCAGCAAAACTTCATTTCCAGAACACTTGTATCATATTGTTTGCTTGTGTGTCACCCTCTGAGTTCTTTCCCCAGGATAGCTTCCCATTATGAAACGTCTGTAGAATGGTGTGAAGCTGACACCTGTGGGGCAGGAGGGAGGGGTCAATGTGGATTAATATTTACAGGTCCTTTGACTGGCTAATATCAGTTTAAACCTAACCCAGGAAGCTCTAATTATGTTTATTTAAGGGACAGCTAGCAGATCAATACGTTACGATAGCTGCCTGTTGGTTTGCGAAAGATTAATAGTTCGTAAAACAAATATCTCTGTTCACATATGGCTTGAACGACAGCTTTCATTGTCTAAAGCAGTATATATGTATTAAGTGGGGACTCTGAGAAAGGAAAGGGATAAATAAGTTTGTGATTGCATATAGAAAATTCAACTGCTGGCAGATTTAGATTATACCCAAAAAGACTTTTTCCACGCAAAAGTACAAGTGTAAAAATTGATTGCCAATGATGCTTAAAAGAAGGGATCTCTCCACTGCAGAATTTAAGGTGTAATAGACTGGAATACGCCATTTCCTTGTCCAGTGTTTATCCAGAGCTGTGGAGGTGTTGCTGGTACACAGTGAGATGAGATTCTTTAATAATACAGAATTATCTTGAACAAGTTGCTCATTTAATTGACTAAAAGACAGTTATATTCATTTAAGGGAATATAATCACTCTTAGTCATCAGCTTTATGTCAGCCAGTGCCCTTTTCATGTAAAGCTCTGTCTTTGCAGAATCTAACAACAATGAATACAAAGAAAGTGGAGGTACTGCAAAATTCCCCACAGCTGCATTTCCAACATTATATACTCACATAAAGATGGCATAGATACTTCAAGATTTTCAGGAGTACTCACTAGATTCACTAGTTAGGAACCTTGTCTTTGTGTAGGAATTGTCCTCTCATGTATGAGAAATTGAATTTTCGAGGTCCAGTACTCAAATTCTCTCTCTAGCTATTTAGAACAGAAGCTCAAATGCTCATTTTGCAGTCTGGGCTGTGACTGTGGTTGGATTTTTCTGTGAAGAGAATGATGCAGTAGCCTGGAGTTAACAAGCTTCTGAGTAAGGAAAGGGTCAGGCAGTGTAGGGATTCAAAATTGAGAGTGAATCTCCCAGTTGCTGGCTGCTGCATATAATGATCTGTCATAAAAATCTGTCCTTTGATGTCTATTCTTGTAGGTGAGCTACACACATGGTTCCTGGATCAAGCCTGGGGGAGAATTAGGCAGGAAAAATATAAGGGTTGATAATGGTATCAGATCACACCATGTCCGTACACAAATATAGGCATATGGAGGCCTTTCCCACAAGTCTTACATGTTAGATGGCAGCTTGTGGAAAGATTAGAAGGGGCAATGGGGCTTTCTTTAGTTGCCTAAATGTAGATCTCTACTGCTATTTCAAACTAAATTGGTATTCGTGTATTAAGATGTAGGTAATTGAGCTGAGTACAATAGTCCTTAAATGCAGGGTTGCAGATGCCTGAATTCTAAAATTCCACTGTAAATTTGACCTCCCAGTTAATTTAAGTATCAAGCCTTGCACTGTGAAAAGAGCAAACGCAACATGCTAACACCAAAAATCATTAGTATCCACAGCACTGTGTGAAGGGTAGCATTAGCTAGCAATTAAGGCTCTGAGGGAACAATGCTAGCAGATGTGTCCCTGTCCTTGGCAGAGAGGTTGGAACTAGGTGATCTCTAATGACTTTTCCAGCCCCAGCCGTTCTCCAATTCTCTGATTCTATGTTGTTTCGTCTTTTTGCTGTGCATTCTGTGTACGTTTTGCTGCACATGTGGAAATCCACAGTCCGTAACAAATACGTTAACTATGAGGCTAATCAGCTCCATGTTGTAATGCACCGAGTGATGCCTTCTTTCACACACATCTATTAACAACCAAGGGAATTCTGTAGGTAATGTGTGCTGGGTCATCAATGATGGGAGCTGTCAGGCACCTGTGCCTGGACTGGGCGGGACAACTGCTCAGCCTCTGGTTTTCTGTCGTGCCAGCAGAGCATCTCAACAGCATGAAATCACAATATTGCCACTAATAATTATAGGACTTTATGTTGCCTGTAGTATCTTATCAGTTCGCAGCTAGCAGAACAGGAAATAGCAATAATCAAACAACATCTATCATTATACTGATCTATTAGAATCTCTGTAATTACACATTGTCTAGTAGATATAATTTTAAAAGTGTGTTTTCTAATTTCTGCACTAAAGAGTTGCCTGGTAGTACAGTGACTTCAATTGGACCCTTAATAGGATATTCACTACACTGCAATACATTTCTGCCAGTTAATGAACCAGTTAATGAATCATTGATCTCAGAAATGCATTTTACTTGCATCCAAATAATACTGTGGTAAAAAAGAACCGAAAATCACTATGATTTTTTCATTTTCCTGAGAAGATCAAATAATACATTTTTTTTTCCTACTTCTAATTTGCTCAGCTGTATCAATGATTTTTTTGTATTTCCTGGTAAAGATCTTAAGGACTTGCACCTATGCTGCCCTTTTGCTATTTATGAAGTTGTAAAGATCCAAAGAAAAAACTGAAAATCTGATTTATACTTTACTGTTCAGTCAGTGATCTGAATCATCATGTTTTAGAAGTAGGTGTCCTGACATCCTCAGGCATTTGCAAAACAACTGAAGTTAAAAAAAAGGATAATTTTTATTGTAACTACATTTGGAGGAATGTGATAATTTTTCTAATTGATCTATTTTATATGCATGTATATGTACAAACTCTAAAAATGTTCTGCTTATGAAAAAAATTACCAAATGTGTTTATTTTCAAAGGTTCTCTGGAAGCAAGTTGAAGAACGAGGTAAGTGTTGTAGTCTGTTTCCTTTCACTTCTGTTATAATTGAAATATTATATGATCTGTGGCTTTAATTTCTTTGAAAATTACAGCAATATTTTCATTGAAGATTAGACTGTAACATCTTTTTTTCATGAGCTGAGTATTTGCTCCTCTGAATATTCAAAGAAAAATAATATTGGAAGTCACCTTCTGGGGTTCTGGTCCTGATCCAGTTCCCCATAATCACAGAGGTTCATAATAGACCCTCTTAAGCAAAGGATCAAGCTCTAGCTTAATTTTTTTGCATCCATAACTTTGGCTTTTTCATAATCTCATTTGTCTGATTGGAGGCCAAAAGATGGATTTTTTTAGTAAACAGAATTGTATACATCCTGGTCAGGATTGTCTTTCTCTATTTTTTGCTTTTTGTGTCATTTTCCTGTGTTGTGTCTTTTCACTGCTTTTGCTTGCTAGGTGGAACAAGCAGCACCCTTACACACCTCTATTCAGCCTTATAGCCTTTCACTGTACTTGCTCCCGTCTGAATATCTTAATAGAAAAAAGAATAATCATAGATAATTGTAAATGGCGTGTCTCCAATTTCTATTGGATATATGTCTTCTGATGAACTCTAGAACTATGTTTGGTTTTTTGTTCTGGTTTTGTTTGTCGGGGTTTTTTGGCGGGGGTTTTTTGGGGTTTGTTTTTTTGGGTTTTTTTGTCCTACACAAGTAACCTACATTTTCACTACTGTATGCTATTATATTGTCCCTGTCATTTTGGTCACATTTATACTAGAAAAATATGAATTATTGTACATTAAGGGTTAAGGATTGCTCCCAGGATTTTGCTTTGACACTGAGTTCAACTGGCATGGAATAGCCTGCATGCATATTATTAAACTCCTGAACCTACAAAAACCATAAGCACATTTCATCCACACTGGCACAGAGAAAAGTCCCTAGCATGAGGGAGGGTACTTTTGATTACTAGGAATTACTAGGAATCTTCTGGGAGACTGCTAATTGGCACGGGCCGAAAGAATGCCAGGAGCCATTCTGCATAATACTGTTCCAGCATTGCCTGGAAATGTTTCCTGACACCATTTAGTTTACTAGAATAAATATACCCTCTGTGGTCAACTGATACACAGCAAGTCTTTCTCCGTTTTCATTTCCAGATAAGCAACTCCTAGCTGATAGCAGAAATTCTTATTGGTCCATGAAAGTGTAGCTTTGCTCTATCGATTTCATCCCCTTTATTGCCGTTATCTCAAAGCCATCCAGATCTTTCTGCATGACCTTTTAGTCTTCCTCTTTATTGATGATTTCATTAGCTCATATCAGCCAATTTAATCTATGAAATGTTCAATGAGATCAGCTCCAAATCTGATCTTTGAAAATCTTCAATCCCTTTTCAACCTGTAGTAGTTTCCCTGTCAACACAACTTGTTAGCATTTCAGTTGGAGTCAGTTTCTTAAACATTTTACATTCTTGTACTAATCCCCATTCTCACCAGCATAACTAATGATTTCCCATGGTGACACCATGTCAACTATTTTAGTGAGGTTCAGATAGATTAGATCTGCTGCATTTTCCCCATTCAGGTAATCAGCTCTCTTATCAAAAAAAGATAGTGTTATGCCATGGGATATCCCCAGCATATTCAAGGGTTCATGAGCGCTACTACAACATTCATTCCTTCAGAGTTTTGGGATGGGAAATGTTTGGTTCCCTTGGCATAAATTAATGCACATTTACTTCCATCTCTGATGTGGCACTCCCCATCTTTTTGGGAACTAACAGTCCCATAAACTTGTTCAATACATTTGTCCTCCCAAAGTTCAATACATTTGTCCTCCCAGAAAAAGAAGCACAGAAAATGTGGTGGAAATAAGTGAGAAAGGGCACATGAGTATGAGGTTTTGATTGAAAAGCTCTGCATTGTCTGGAATTATTCGGGCAGATCTTTAAAGAAAAAAAAAAAAAAACAACAAACACATCTTTTATGGTCAAAATTTTTTTTTACAATTTCAGTGTATCAAAGATTAGGCAGCATATTTTCATAAAAGCGAACAGGTGATACATCCTTATTCATTTGCTTGAAAGTACATGCAATTAGGTATTCTAGAAAGATTTACAATGATTGCATAAGGTGTAATTCTCAATAGGAACATAAAGACATTGAAAGATGTTAAAGCACTGATTGTCTAAATATACTGAGTAAATGGCATTTGAATGAACACTTATTGAGTGCCAGGGATACTGTTTACTTCTGGTATGTTTTATCACATTTTCTAGTATTCCCACTGTAGGGGGAGATATCAGCAAATTCTTTTATCTAAACCAGTTAGTGCACCATTAGAGTCTGCATGGTTAATTAGGCAGATAATATTACTGTCATTATCTTAATGTTAAATGGTCATTAGAAACAGATGGCATTAAATTGAAAGGGCAAGTGGCAGTGGGTTAAAATATTAAGCCTAGAACTGAGGCACAATCATACAAGTCCATTAGCAAGGTAAAATCGTTGCAGATTACCCTCTCTTAAACCTCCCAGTACCATCACTTCCTTCTTTTAAATGAACTAATCCCTTTTAATTAGAACTTTTAATATATTTCATGGGTAATTAAATAATAAAATCATTAAGATTACTCCTGTTATTAAAAAAGAAAAAACAAACCTCCTGGTACTGATAGGCAATTACAAGACTACAAAACTATTGACAGGAAGAAGTACTAATGTTTTTACATTTCTTCAATTTCTTTGACTTAGAGTTTTATACATATTTGAATAGCAGATAGTGCGGGCAAAGTGTGTTTACATAGCGTATGCTTTCATTCCTTGCTGTCTGTTTTGGCAGACATTTCACACTGGGAGATACATGTATGGTGAATAAGTCAGTTAGAGTTATAATGTTCTGAATGCAGTATTTGAGAGAATTTGCCTTCAAACTGACCTCTAATTCATGAGTCAACATTTATAGGACAATACTCCCCTTTGCACACTTTTACACTATGTGTTATCCTATATACCTACTATTCCCACTTCAGTGAAATCTGACTGTATGCAAAGGGCTAGGAAAAGGCCACTGCAAATACCATTGAAATGCCTTGTGCATGGTCATAAATTCCATCCACTAGGACAAAGGAAATATGCACAGAGTAATGGATTTACTGCAGGTATATGCAGAAGGCCTGCTCAAGGCTCTGCACGTTGCCTTGATGTAAGGACTGGGTGGGCTAAAATGGAACCAAAGGTTTCAGCCAAATTGTCTTCTCTGGGTTTGAATGCAATTCTGTGAGAATAAGTACAATTCCATCAGTAAGGACAGAATCATAATACAGATTTTATTGCTTCTCTTGAGAATGAAGGTTTCATTTTAATTACATCATTTGAGAGCTTACTGAGCATAATGTGGTGTGCATTATAAATACAAGCATGGTAACACTGTATCACTACAGAACATTATTGCTGAGCTTTACTGAAAAGAAGACTAAATCAGATTCAGATGTGCAAGTATTAAGTTAGGAGTCTAAATAAGGGTTGATTTACCATATGTTGCTTAACAGTCAGTATCCACATATACAAGGCAGCTTGTTGTTTCACCCTTCAATCCCATCTCTCCAAAGGTTAGCATCTAATAATTATTCAAGATATTTTTTCAGTCTGTCACTAGTACAAGATGAGTCTACAATATTTCAGATGTCACAAGCTAAAGCAGCTTAAGAGGCTTAAGAACTCTAAGAACTGAAAGAAACTCAGCAGAATTTAGCATAATTCAGGAGGAATTTAACTTGTATCCAGGTCAATACTGACCGTGTCTCAGCAATAACTGGAGAACACTGAATGTCCAGGAATATCATTCTTATTGATATATGAAACTGGGGCTTTGTGTCAAGTCTGCCACAATCACAAAGCGACTTATAATAAATACTTAGATCAGAAGTGTCCACAGACCCTACGTACCATCACATCCATAACACCATAAGATATTATCAAACTTTACAGTAAACTAAAATAATGGTTGCCATAGTAAAACAGCAGAAATCACTATTGCTGTGCTATCAGAGCAGAAAGAGAGCAGGGGAGAGCAAAAATATCTCTGCTACTCTAGATCCCTGCGCTAGCAAGATACATATTAAATAAAACTTAGAGTTTCCATAAGAGTATGGCAGTCCATACTGTAGAGGAGAGAATTTTTTACTTCAGTTTTTAAACATAGATTAATCCAAAGATTGTAGAATTACATGAAGTAATGTGGTTTAAAGGCTCCATCACTCTGAAAACTGCACTTGATGGAGTTTAGATCTAGGCACATATTTATTTACCTTCTTGAACTGGAACCCAGGTCTGGATACACATCAATATTTTGGAAGGATTATATGAATGTGAATATTCAGGGATGTTGAGAGACTTGTGAGATAATATGCAACTTAGCATGAATTTTTGGTTTCAGTTGAACCTATTTGGTTGTTTCAATGTTCCTGTTTTTTTCCCCTTCCATTTCAGGGTGGTTTCACTCGTAAATATTCTCTGAGTTCCAAAACTGGGACTCTCCTCCCAGAGTTTCCAAGTGCCCAACACCTTTTGCTTCAAGGGTGCATTTCTAAAGACAAGGTAAAATGTGAGCTACTTCTCTTCTGTCTTACAGATCAAAAATTGCCACAGAATGTTTCTTCATATCTTAGCCTTTGAGGTATTGACATGAAAGAGCCAGAAATGTCCAGAATCAAACAGAAGTGACTGATTTATAGAGGGGGCAAACCTTTACTAACACCGATTAACTGGCTTTCCACTGGAAAGGTGGTTGAATTATTTACCTATTAACTGACCTAGTATTTTACAAACTGATGGTATGTAAGACTGGGAGAACAAAACAAACAAATAACTGAGAGTTGTATTCATTCCAAATGTCTTTGGTTTTAAGGTAAATTTTGTTCTGATTAGATCAGAACAAATAATTCACAACAAATAATTAGATGAACTATGCTTTTTTTGATTAATTGTTTGAAAAGAGACTGTGAAAATCTGAACTTCTTTTTTTTTGGTAGTAAAATTATATTCTCCAAATCAATACTTAGTATTGCTCATCCTAAGGATAATTGTTCCGTTAGAAGTATTGCGGGTATGTGTTTTATGTCTTTGACTCCTTGTCTGTGTGCTACATTTGTTTTATTTCTGGTCACATTACAGGCTGTTATATCCCTGAAATGTGCTAGAAACCTTTTGATATACGTTGAGAACTCTCTGATTTAGCCTCCAGTACAGGTCATGATGGTGGCTGTCTCGAGAAATGTTGCTTTAAAGGTTTTCGGTTTATGACCCCTTCCTCTTAAGTTTGATCTGTGAAAGTAATGAAGTCTAGGATTCCTGTTGTGAGGACTGAACAAAAGAAGCCATCTGTAGGACAGAGAGTTTAGCTAGAAATTTTACAGTTCCTAAAGAAAGTGCAAGAACTGGTGTACTAGGACAAGCGGTAATGGCTTTAAACTTAAACAGGGGAACTTTAGGGTAGATATAAAGAAGAAGTTCTTCACAGTGAGGGTGGTGAGGCACTGGAATGGGTTGCCCAAGGAAGTTGTGAATGCTCTAACCCTGGCGGTGTTCAAGGCCAGGCTGGACAGAGCCTCAGGTGACATAGTTTAGTGTGTAGTGTCCCTGCTCATGGCAGGGGAGTTGGAACTAGATGATCTTAAGGTCCTTTCCAACCCTAACTATTCTATGATTCTATGTGCATCACCTGCTGCTATGGTCTCCATCTCTCATGCATACAGTATTCTTGGTTGCATTTAAATCTGAAGAGCATTTGAGGTTCCATGCAGACCCAACACAGCAGTGTAAGCAAAACTGAATTTTACCGTTCCAACAATGAAGAAAAAAATGCAACTAATTTTGTCTTCATTTTTGGGTTGCAGTATTTAGTTGCTCTGATGTTTTAACCACATTATGGGAGAGCCCAGCAGCGCTTTGTGGGTGACTGTCTGTAGACAGACTCAAGGAGTTATGAGAAGACTATGGGAAGAGAGATGAATTTCTGTGTGTCTCCCACTTTCTCCTTGCTGCTCTTTCCTCATTCCTTGTTGTCTTGTTTCCTGTTTTCTTTTTTTACTGTCTTTCACTTCCTTCAGCTTATCTGGCCAAGGATTACTGAACCTAAAATATTTAAGTACTCTCTTGAAGAGATCCTGCACATGAAGTTTAACTCCTGCATTAAACTCTTAAGAACTTGCATGCAACTGAAATCTCTGGGGAGTTAATAAACGTAGCAGCCTGCACTAAAATTGATTGATAATTTCTTCATTTTATATTTCTGAGAAAAGCTTACCCAAACCTTTAACTTCCATTAATCTCTTAAAAAAAATTCTTTAAAATGTTCTTGAATCTTACACTTTGCCAGTGTTTTCCAAAGATATGTAATTACAGAAGCAGATCTGGAAGTCAGCAAGGTCTGTTTTCAAAGAAATCTGTGTGCTAAACCTATTGAATTAAGGTGGTACTAGGTTCATTTGATATTGGTTTTCCAGAGAAGTTCACAAGCTGTGGCAAACTTTCTGTGATTCTGGACCATAAGAACAGTTTTGCTAGCATTTTTCTTTCCTTAAAATACTTCACAAAATTTCTTGTTTTATAATCTGATACACATTTTAAAATTTACTATTATTCTTTACAAAGTCTTGTAATACCTCTGGAGAGTTATTAAAATAAGGGAACACTCCACTCAGATAAATTAGCCTGATGAGATGAAAGGGAGTTCTGTTCTTGTAAGGCAGTGATTAAACTTTGACCAAATGACTGGCAGCTATTTTCTCATTTGTCCAACTAGATGATGTTTCAGAACACTCATAGACGCCTATAGTAGCCTAATGATTAACTTGTACTACTCTTTGGGATTAATCTTAGCTTCAGAAAGGGGACTTTACTTTGCCATCTGACTGACTAACCTAGCTATTGCCTTGCTTTGATATCCACATTTTCACAGTGTATGCAGTCTCAGATGCTACATTTCTGACAACAGCATCAAGCCTCAAAGGTATTCATAAAATCTAGAGTGACCTCCACATCACTTCTGGCTATACAGGCTGTCTATTTGTGCATATGCATTGTAATACAATTTATGTTCCATATTTAAATCCTAGCTACAGAAAGCAGAAACCTACATCATTAGAGAAGTAAAGGAGAGAGCTAAGAAATTCTGTTTAATCTTTCTTTCTTCCAAAATAGGTAGATACTCTTATCATGATGTACAAGACACACTGTCAGTGTGTCCTTGACAATGCAATTAATGGGAACTTCGAAGAGGTAAGGTTGTTTGAACACACATTCTTGGTATATGTGCACAGGGAGCCAAGAAAGCGTTATTTATGTCCATGAATCTGGTTCCTACTCCTTTAGATTCAGCATTTCTTATTACATTTTTGGCAAGGAATGCCCGACCATCTTCTTCCCCTGCTTGAAAATCCCATCATCGTTGACATCTTCTGCGTTTGTGACTCAATACTGTATAAGGCAAGTAAAGCATTTAGCTTCATGGGTACATTACAGCTCTTGCTTGTGTAAAACCAGCATTGAAGTTAGAATAACAGTATGCTATGACTGCTTTCTGCCTCTTACTTGTGTAAATCAGGAAGGATTTCCTTGAAATCCTCGAATTTGGTGCATGTAAAAGCTGAAGTCCAGTCTCAGCCCTGCTG